CCCCAAGGGGAGCTAGAGGAGCTTCGGGACCATGAGATTTGGATTTCTCGAGGTCGATTACTTGGGAAACCGTCTTTTTCTGGAGAATTTACGTCAATTTTGAGATCAAAGAGAAATTATGGAGGGGGGTACTGTCCCCCTCTTTAGGGGATCATTTTTGGGCCTTGGATGGTCCGATTTTGGATTTTTAGGGGTCAATTCCCTCGTGAAATTTTCCGTGCTTTTCAATTCTGATGCGATCGATCCGCAATTCGGTCGGGAACCGTGACTTTTAGCATCGTGACCCCCCCTTTACCCCCCCAAGGGGGGGTGGGGGGGTTTCGGGACCACAAAATTCGGATTCCTTGGGGTCAATTCCCTATTCAACCCTGCGGTCTCCGACTTCGTGCGATCTAAACCAACCGAGAAAAAGGCCTGGTACATGTGGTCTGAAACACCCTGTACATTACTTTTTACCATTTAGTGAGACATACTTGACTCCTCAACTTTGGAAGACCTGTTTGAGTTTGATAAGAAGAGTGTCATGATGGAATCAGTTTTCTGCGCATACCACTAAGATAAACCGGTTGCGCCGAGACTCCATCACCATTCACGGGTCGAAAGTGTGATTCTCTGGTCTAAAATGGATCCTCAGATGCCGTGCTAGGCGATGGTTAAGTTTTCCTGATTTGAGCGCATTCTGTAGCTAAAATGCACATTCTCCCAGTTCAACTTTTTTTTGCCCCATTTAGACCAATGTAATTTATCCCGAAATTTCAATTGCTTTATGCATTATCTAAGAATAGTTCAAATTTTCTCAAATTTTAGATGAATTAGTGTTATAGATAGAAACAATTGCCATTTAGTGCTACTTGGTATTCCACCATGACCGAAATGAGCCGTGTCTTAGTGTCTGCTAGATACTGTGAATACTTCTGGACAGACTCATCATTACTACTTCTTAAAATTGACAGAAGCAATCAAGAAGTGGAGATTACTGAAACAGCCGTTCCCTATTATGAAAGTTTGTGTTTGGAACTGTGTGCAAAATGAAATGAAATAAAATAAAATAATGAAAAAACCGGCGCTCCGCTTCGCTCCGCGCCAGTTTTGGGGGGGGGGGGGCTTCGCCCCCCAAGCCCCCCCAGGACGTGCGCCCCGCGCGCGTCTTTTCACGGTTTTCTGCGCATCTAGTTTTTCTTCTATTTAAGTGTTCTGCGCATCCACCGCGAGAAGGAAGTGTATTTCCCGAAGTGGGATTGGTTTAGTCATTGAATCGTAAGTCTGTAAGCCATTGTGTAATGGATAGTTTTTTTTCCAGATATTTCCTTTCCTTAGGCCGCCGTGCGACGAACAGTTTGTCCAAAAACTTCTTCCCCCTGACCCACTGTGTGACGATCAACTTGTCCAAAAATTTTCTCCCCCTGACCCACTGTGCGAGGAAAATTTTATCCGAAATCTTCCTTCCCCTGACTCACTGCGACGAACACTTTGTCCAAAAACTTTCTCCCCCTGACCCACTGTGTGGCCCTGCTCCGGCCGGCTTCCCTCATGCCGTGCTCTCAGTGGGGTCAGAAACTCACCATTTGAAAAGCTCCTAAGCTTTTTGGCTGATTAATATATCGTTCGTCATGTGTCTTGGGGGAGTATGTACAACCAATTTTGTCCGAAACAAAACGTTTTTAATTTTTTTCTCTCCTAGGAATAGATAAAATCTTAACTTTTTCCAATTTTCCAAGCCTCAATGTTTTCTCCTTCAACAGAGGTGAGGGAAAATGTTTTCTGATTTGTTCTTTAATTTTATTTTGGATTTTTACAGTGGAGATAATGAAGATGTGGAGATCAATAGTGTGGGAAGTGAATCAGATTTGACACAGATGTACGTCAGTGACGAAGAATCGGCTCCAGCAAAACTACCGGAAGTGTTAACATAATTCATATTGTGCTCAGATCGTTTTTAGTTTTTTCTGTATTTTTATTGTTGAATGAGCCTGCCTCCTTCCTAAGGCTATAGATTATTTTCTGCCCAGAAGTTTTCCCATGTGATAAGAGCTGCAATGGAAAGCTTGTCATAGCAATTGATAACGCGAAAGAAGTGATATTATGACAGTGAGAAAGCAGGTTCATTCCCTTTCAAATATTTTCAACTAAGTACACTTCAGAGCACAACTCTGTCGAAGGAAAGTTGAATGAAAAGTGAATGTAGATCTGTCAGAAATCTTAATGTAGGATAAAAATAGTTCATTTTTAGACGTGATTTTATTCTAATGTGTTCTTTGAGCTTTTCAAAAAAAATACAACGACTTTTAGATTTTCTTCTCAGAAATATCATGCAATAAGTGAGGTTTGCATTTTTCCAGGAAGAAAATTAATATTTTTCCCCCAGGGAAATCCAGTCATACTGTTAAACAATTCTTCCTTTCAGTTCTTTGAGAGTCTTTTAATTTTTTTAATTTGAAGTAACCGAATGCATGCAGATTGAAGTTTACAGCAATTAAATGAAGACATTTCCGCATCAACTCGAGCAACCACGAGAAAGCACAAATAAACCTGGTTTATTTGTTTATTTGTGCTTTCTTTAAAGCTAGTTATAAAATGAATAAATTGTCTGAAAAGTCATAATTACAGCTTTCTAACAGCATATTCTTTTCTCTAGTTTGGTCCTAAAGGACGCTGGCAGATAGGAATTGCCTACAAGCATTGTAAAAAAATAATGAAATACATGCAGCTCTAGTCAAATTAAATTACTAGCTGCTTCAGTGCACCAAAATCGAAAAGCAACATACCAATAGAAATCAGTACTTTCTACCTGTACTCTCTACTACTCTACAATCCTACTCTTCACTTGTCTCTAATACATCGTATAAAAGGTGTGGTTGATAAACAGTTTTACAGAGGGATACACATATCATTTAATCTTGTATGGTGAATAGAAAATTCTGGGAGATGAGGCAAAAACACGTCTTGTTGATGTAATAGGGCACTAAACAGGCAACTGCCATACCTAGGAATCAACTCAACTCGTACCACTACTGCATTCACTATCACAGGTTCTTCATTTTCATATTTTTCTGGAATTTCAATAGTATGAATCACTATATCACCAAGATAAACGTAACTTTACCTAAAAATTAAAAGCCACCACTGGTTACTAAAACTTGCCTGGCAAAATTAATAAAAAAAAACTTCACTGCCAGTGCTAGGTATCCCTTTAAACAGAAAGCGATAATTATACCAAGGCAGGGCCAACCGAAAATGTAATAAGTTAACCTAATATAGGCCAGGCACCAAGGGAATGAATATTGAATTAAATGCTGGAAAGCTGCGAATTTTTTTAAAAGACGTATTATGAGGTCCTTAAATAAGGGTTAGTTTTGCACCATTCCTGAAGTGGAGCTTCAGCCGCCATCTTGGATTTTTAGGCCTAAAATCGCTATTTTTTCGGTTTTTGGCCTATAAGTCAGTGAAAAAGTCATTTTTCCGTCAAAATACCTCAGTGCTATAATTAAGCTTATTAAATTTCCTTTTAAAAAGGTGGTATACGTTTTTTTCATGCGACCCACCATTTTCGAGTTATAATTGTCGCAAAGTTGGGCTTTTAAACTCAAAATTGACCAAAACCCGACTTCCAAGTTTCCAGTGCTCTACAACTTAACAAAAACCGAGGAAAGAGGGGAAAACTCATTCCGAACCTAAAATCTGGGATCTCTCAAAAATTAATCCCAAAATCCAAGTCCGTGGGGGGGGGGGGGGGGGCAAGATGTCCCAGTGCCGTAGCGCGCCGCTGCTCAAGCGCACAGTTCGTTAGCTTTTTTGGTGAATGAAATGAAATTGCAAAATGATTCTTTGCTTTTCTTCGGTGAAGCGTCACAGAACTCAACCTGCAACTTAAGTTTCCTTAGATCACCTGGTTCCTTTCTGTTAGTTGCTGCAATAGTGTTCGTAGTTTCAGCTGTTAAAGCCATAGAAATAAAGCGACGTACCCATTTAGCAGAAAAAAGGAGTCACTTACAAAGAAAAAAAGAACAGTATGTGTCTCCAATTGACAGTTGAACATTTATTTAAAAATGCACTGAAATACAAAAAAAATCATGTTTAACACCTGGCAGAGGTTCATCTTTGCCTTGCAATCTACACATGAGATCCTTACTTTTCTTCCTCATCCATGCTATCCTCATCTTCGATGATATCGGCTACGTTTAAGCATGATCTACCTTCGCAGTTTTTGCAAAGTAAAGAGCAGTGTAAGCCTGTTTTTCGGCAGGAACAAGAATTTTGACAGCCCTTCACACATTTGCATGAAATTAATTTTAAAAGCTCTTGAGGCGCCGGATCTTTCTGCATCGGAATCGGGAATAATTCAGTTTTACAATGTCTCCACCCCTCACTGTAATGGAGATATTTCGTGACCATATAACACAACTGCATTTGTAAATAGACTCTAAATGAATGCAAACATGCTAAATCTGAAGAAGGGGGCAAGGAAGCTAAATTCGGTGCATTTTTGCTTATCGCTTGTGTGAAGCATTGGCACCTAAATTGATTCGATGATACATCACCTTGATCACCGTAGAGGGAAAGAAACAATTTTTCCCCTGTACTAGCTACTGCCTCTGATGAAGCATTTGGTTCTTTGAAAATTTGAGCGGCTACTTTTAAGCTCTCATCTTTTTGTAACAATTTGAAGAGCTTATGTTTTCCTTGCCTAAAAATCGCAGATGTGGTATCACAACCGGTGAATGCGTGTAAATGAAACATTATCTGCTAAAGTTAGGTTCTGGTTCAGCGAGTAAGTTTTATTTGGAACTTTACCTTTACCTGGCTTCAGAAAATAAATGGTTTTCTTAGAATTGTTCAAAGCTGTAAGGATAAGTAAGAGATCAGAGTCTTCACTTACAATTATGACTGATGGGGAATTTTCAGAGTACTCGATGGCTGTATTTACAATGAGCACGTCAGAATCCTCTTTTGCTTGTTTAGTTTTAATACCTGCACTCTCAAACCTCTCTCTTAGTAAAGCTATCAGTCGACTTTTATTTTTCTCGTTCGCGAGGAATTTACTTAGTGTGACAGTCACTGACATGTTCTCTTCAATAATAATTTCTGGAGATAATAATAATTTTGATCTCCGCCAGCGTTCTGCTGTTTTGGTGCTCTTTGCTGGCTGCGCTGTCCTCCGGATATCCGTCAAACACTACTGACGTGTTAGAGGAATAATTTTTCTGTACATACTCAACATGTTTATCAAGTATTTGGGAGAATATTTCTTGCCGATGCCAGACAATTTTGTGAACCATTAATCCTCCATCAATCACACGGACAGAACCTTTCAATTTGACTGCAGTTTCACAAGTTGAAAAGGAAGTCATAAATCACTAATTTGGACATTTTCCGCATTCCGGATTCGTCAAAAAGAGCTAATGGATAAGGAATCAATTCGAATTGAAAATAATCCTCCAATTTCTTGTCTATGATTTTTTAAGGAAAGAAATATCCTTTGAAAAAGAAATGCAGGATTAATGGGTATTACTTTATTATTTAATTTAACGCTGCAGTTTGTTGCAGAAATAGGTACATAACACACGGTTGCTCCTTTTAAATTTGATTTCACCATAAGTGCCATCTAGCGCTCTCATTTGCGCTATGCCAACTTCACGAGTTTTATGACAGTTAATTTTTGGATCAGACCGGGAGTCTCCAAACCAATAAAAATTATTGCCATTCGACACCTAGTAGCTGATAACACAGCGCGATACGACACGGTGTGTAAAAACAGTGCGCGCGCGGCCCACAGATTCGGTCACCGTGCGCCCCCCCCCCCCACACGGACTTGGATTTTGGGATTAATTTTTGAGAAATCCCAGATTTTAGGTTCGGAATGAGTTTTCCTCTCTGTCCTCGGTTTTTGTTAAGTTGGAGCGCACTGGAAACTTGGAAGTCGGGTTTTGGTCGATTTTGAGTTTAAAAGCCAAACTTTGCGACAATTATAACTCGAAAACGGTGGGTCGTATAAAAAAAACGTATACCACCTTTTTAAAAGGAAATTTAATAAGCTTAATTATAGCACTGAGGTATTTTGACGGAAAAATGACTTTTTCACTGACTTATAGGCCAAAAACCGAAAAAATAGCGATTTTAGGCCTAAAAATCCAAGATGGCGGCTGAAGCTCCACTTCAGGAATGGTGCAAATTTAACCCTTATTTAAGGACCTCATAATACGTCTTTTAAAAAAATTCCCAGCTTTCCAGCATTTAATTCAATATTACCCCTCATATGGAGCTGTGGTGCCTGGCCTAAGGACATTCTCATCATCTGCTCCACTTCCGCGATCATTCATGTTTTTTTCGTTTTCTCGTTGTAGACTTCGTTCCTTTCTGCATCAATATCAACTGTCATAACCCTCCTTGCCTTCACGATTTTGAGATTATTATCTGTCGTGACGCAAAACACTGAGTAGGATTAACGGAGAATCATTGAGAATCTTCGATTAGAGTGAATTCATGTAGTCCACTGTGTGACGCTCTAGAATATCAAATATTGAAAGGGTTCTAATCATCTTCAATAGACTGAACAATCATTTCAATTACGCTCTTTCCTCGTTTCGTTCAAAAGTCCACTTAGACTGAAAACGTTTTTCCACTTTTTTCAATGAATATTTGCTGCGTTGATCCCCTTTAATCGTACGCTACCTCAGTCACCTCTTCCCTTTTTTTCTATCACAAATGGGGTCTTAAGGGGTCTCTTGATTTTTATAATTTTATTTTTTTCTTGTTTCCTGGTCAAGGAGGGGGTTGGAACTACCGCGGAACATCTCAGACTTTCTGTTTCTGTTTTTGCCTTGGTTATCCATTGTCTTGTGTTTTCTAGTTTAATTGTATGTTGTGCCAGTCTATTTAGGCCGGTGTACTCTAGCCTGTTAAAATTGTATCTATGATGCTATAGAATGCAGGATTCTCCATCAGTACTAATTTACGGCCGTTAATGACGACGCTTGTGTAAGCAAGCAAAACAAGCATTGTCAATTATTTTCACATCAATTTTGAATATTACTTGCTTGAATGTCATGGTTTTAATGCTCTCTTATCTCAATTTTTGGACCCCTGCTTGGTTTTTATCTATTCCTTCTCGTGATTGTTCGAGGCCACTCTTTCGATTTCTTTTTTCCTCGTATTCAGCAAATTCATTTTTGTGTGAACTTAAAGGCTCCAATAGCAAGATGTAGGATCAACTTTTGAACTTGCTTTTGGCTTGGCTCTTCGCTATGAACAAAAAAAAACTGGGAAAATGCATGTGAGCTCACTTTTTGGATCTGTTTTTGCTTACAGCACCCTACCATTAGCCTCTTCAGGGTACAGGTAGCAATTGCGGGAATTTTAATTTTCCAAGTCGTTTTACCGAATAACTCTTGATTCTACTAATCAATTCGAGATGACATTCAAAAAGTGAAAATATCTGCTTTTTAATGATGTGCTGGTTTTCAATATCGGTGTTCATAAGCTGTAAGTAGCTGAATGTGATTGGAGTCATGCATTCCTCCTTTTTTTTATATGGCTTCATGCAATTCCTATTTTTCATCATCCATTTGCACAAAATTGAAAAAATTTTATGCTGGTAGAAAGCTTAAATTATGATCATTCCATTGATTTATAGTCCAGGCGCCTGGTAATTCTACCTGGAATTTTGGGTACACAGCGATTTTTTTGGCTTAATTTACGTTTTTTGGGTCGCTGAATCCGAATCTGAAGTTTCCTACCGCGTACCTGGTGAGCATTTTCCGCCATTTTAAAAAAATGGCCTAAAAAGACCTTTTTTTGCGGTTTTTTTAATATAGCGGCTAAGCATGAGAAAAAGTCCCTGATTTAGTTAATGTTTTGAATAGCTGACATAATTTGGAAGAAAATGGTATATGAACATGCTAGGTTTGCTCAAAAATTGAGGAACCTCGGATCTCCGAACTTTGGAACGCTTCGGAACTTGGCTGACTGCGGCGAGCCGGATCGCGCGTTGACGGGTGCGCCGCGAAAACGTGAATGGGCGCGATGTTCACGATACTGCATCTTCCTCAATTTTTAAGCAAACCTAGCATATGTATACACCATTTTCTTCCAAATTATGTCAGCTATT